AGGTCAATATTGCATGGGTTGTAAATATTTACACTCGCGTGAACGACGAAAGATGAGTGTCAGTCTTTAATGACTTCTAGCACCTCACTCAGAGAAGTGTAAAATGTGCAAGAAGACCTCACCTTTACTTTCAGGTATATGCACCATTATCGTACCTTGTTGTATACTTGATTAATTCAAGCGAAAAAACGACTTGAATTATTGGTACTAGTTTTTTTTTTCGGGAAAGGTGAAGTGTTGTATTCGAATGATTGATTGGAAAAAAACAACTGTTTCATGAATTAAATACTGTCAAGTAACTTTAATAAGAATTTGAAATAAAATTTTCTTAAGACAGTTGGATCACATTTTTTCGTGTCTTTTTTTCGGAGCAGAAGGAGGGGGCACAGTTTTCCACGTGAGGAGATCGGAAAGGGGAAGAGTAAAAATGCATCTAATCCAAAGAAAGACGTTTCCGACAGTGTTTGAGTCCGAGACTAGGATATAGATAGGTGTTAAGATTAAGACTGTATAATGGTCAACTCCAACTCAATATTTTAATGCTCTCTTAGAAGTTGTATAGGAGCGGAAAAGGAGGCGAGGGACCTAAAATAAAAAACAAAATAGACAAAATTAATTAAAAAAGGAATTTTAATCTATTACCACAGATTGCCTCTGGAAGGATGTCAAGAAATAACAAATTAATTGCGATTCGTCTACGGTCGGTGACGAATCGTCACACCAGATGTCGAATCGTGCGTTAACATACCGGAAGTCAAGAGGCGTAAGCAACATGTGAAATTACGATAGTATGCCGGAAGTCGAATCGTGCGTTAACATATCGGAAGTCGATGAAGATCCGTCATACCGGATGTCGATTTGCAGAAGAAGACATGGACCTCCCACGTTCTTAGAGCGTGAAATGACCCGAAGTCTATTGTCTTACACGCTAGTGGTGAAGCGGCCGTCAGGTCCTCCTAAAAATCCGTTATACTGGAAGTATAACGGATCGATTTACGAGAAAAAAGACGGCGCAGCCATGGGGAGTCCGGTTTCCGCTGTTATTGCCAACCTCTACATGGAGAGTTTCGAAGAACAGGTAATAACTACATCATCCTATGAGCCTAGGATCTGGAAACGCCACGTGGACGATACCTTTACCATCCTGGATCGCGAAAACGTAGACGACTTCTTACAGCATTTAAACAACCAGCAGCCTTCCATCCGCTTCACCATGGAGACAGAGAAAGACAACAAACTCGCCTTCCAAGACACCGTAGTTTTAAGAGAACCTGACGGCCGCCTTACCACCAGCGTATACAGGAAGCCCACGTGCACCGATCAATACTCAGCGTATGATTCACACCACCCTAAAACAGTAAATCGCGGTATTGTTAAGTGCCTTCAAGAGCGCGCCAAACGTCTCGTAGCAAAACCCTCTGTCATCTCCGCGGAGAAGAAACATCTGTCATCTGTTCTGGTTTCTAATGGTTATCCTTTTTCTTTCTTAAACTTACCAAGACCGAAAAACCAAACAACAGTACCGAACTCACCAACGAGTTCAAACTACTTCGGTTTTACCTTATGTCAAAGATTTGTCCGAACAGCTTCGCCGTTGCCTACAACAACAAGGCGTAGGCGCTGTTTTCAAGTCGGAGACTACACTAAGATCTCAGTTAGTACGACCAAAAGACGCTGTCGACCCGGCTAAACAAGATGGCGTAGTTTACAGGATTCCCTGCGAATGCAGCAAGGTGTACATCGGAGAGACTGGAAGACCTATGCAAGACAGAATTAAGGAGCACGATCGAGACATTCGACTCGCCCGAACCGAGACCTCCGCCGTTTCAGAGCATGGCCACAACACCGGACACAAGTCACTCTGTAACGAAGTAAAGGTTTTTTGATCGTGACCCTTATTACTACACGCGCAGGGTCAAAGAGGCATTTCATATAAGACTTCACCCTAACAACATCAACAGGGATAGTGGAATAGAAATTCCAGGAGCGTGGATGCCCACGATCAAAAACCACAACAACAAGAGAGCCGTACGACAGCGGACGGCTGAGGGAGCAAATCACTGAGTGAACAGCAAGGATCGAAATGCACCAATCACAGCTGTTGAAAAAACAACTAATTACAGCAGAGCATCATGCTTTATAAGATCACGCATGACCAGTCGATCTCATCGCCTGAAGAAGACTAGCAGTATGCAGTCGAAACGTCGCGACTATACGTGACTACATCGTGAGACAAACGAAAAACTTAGCTGTCTTAAGTGTCTTGCAAATCGACATCCGGAATGACGGGTCGTCATTTGTTGTCACGATTCTTTCGATTCGTGTCGGTTCGACAACATCTTCAACCCCCTATCGCAGACACTTGCAGAATATTTTCTAAGTCACCTGCAAATTTACTTCCGGTATGCGTTTCCATATCATAAGAGATGGTTTCTCAGACCTCCGGTATCACAACACCATGCCGCGAATCGACTTTCGGTTTAACAATTCGTCAATTGCCTTTGACGATTCGTAGCGGTTTGCGTGTATTGGACAACCCTCACTACCGAAGGGGTATACTAAGAAAGGAAAGAAAATATTGTAGAGTATTTTTGTGAACCTTTGGGGAAACACGCGCAATCATTGTTTGACCAGCCAGAACGACATCTCAACATGACTGGTAGAAGATTTACGCGTACTTCAACCAGTTATGTGTCGCTTGACACGAAATTGTTCAGTTAAAACTCTTGCAAAACACCAGATTATTTCCACATCAAAAGCAGTATAAATATTACCGCTACTGCTCGCACAATGAGAATCTAGGGGTGACAAAACTCAGTATTTCTATCAGACCAGTCGTAAAATGCATATTCTAATAGGTAAAAGAGTTTTTCTCCGTGGTTAATCTCAATCTTCCGCGCTGCACTTCAATTACTTACGGTTTCTTAGATCAGGCCAAAATTACAAGAACAATGTTAACGATTTTTTGGTCCAGGAGTCTGAAAGTCTTGGATTTATTTTGTCTCTTTCTGCAGAAAAATGAATGGATCAGAATAAAATGATTGGAAGTTGCCCCGATTTGTTTTGTTATTTTGTTATCTGACGCTAGGCAAGTAACAAAAATAATTTTGTACGTATTGTCAATCAAGTTTTCAGTGGAGGGTTGATATCAAAGATCGTGGCCTTAGTTGGGTGTTCATTAATTTCTCTCAGACGCTTTTTGTTAACATAACATTGACCAATTTGGACTTGGAGTGGAATGGGATTGGCGTTTTTGGTGCTGTTTCTCTCTCTCAGGCCCATTCAGTTAGTACTTTACTGACTCATTTGGATTTAACGGGAAATTGGTGATCCTCGTCACTCCTAGAATCTTTCATTAAACACTACATTCACTAATGTGAACTTGAAATGGAAAGGGATTGGTGACTGTGGTGCTGCTTCTCTCTCTCTCTCTCTCTCAGGCTCTCTCAGTCAATACTACACTTAACTCTTTCTCATGCCCTTTGAACCATTTAAACTTGAGGGGTAATACAGTAATACTAGTGTTTCTGGTGCTGCAACTCACTCTCTCAGACTCTTTCAGCCAATGCTACATTAACTTATCTGAACTTGTCTGAAAACGACATTGGTAATTCTGTTGCTGCCAGATGTAGACGGCGAAAGTCTCAGCTTAACCATTTGCGTAAACAGATTGAGATTTTAGCATGGAAATGAAATTATATCCCCTCTCTCCTCTTCAGCTAAACAGGCCATCACTAATGTAATTCATCCTAATATCAACTAACGCAATATAGATCCGTATGATTCGGAGCAAATGAAATCTTCATGTACCTCTCTGAGGAGTTTTGTTTACTTTTCTGGGGCGTTTAAATCGTGTCTCTTTTTTCCCCTATCTCAGTTTCTCCCCTCCCCACCAGCTTTGTGTCGGAGAACGAGGTAAGGCATGGTCAATACAACCTCACGGACAACAGGCCCCAAACCTCAGTTCTCTTCAAGCTCGGAAGTGTCGCAAACAGCAGTATCTGATTGATAGCGTGTTTCTGTACATGTTTTTTCCTTCCCTTAAACATAGAGCTAAGTGATTTATTTGAAACTTAGTTAAGTTTATTAATATTCAATCAAATTTCATTGAGGTTTTCTCTCAAATGACTAAGTTGCATTTATCTCGGTAGATATTTTCTCCTCAGTATAGCTCGTCCCTTCACAACGAACATTTAGTGTGGTCCTCCCGTGGTTAAACTGTTTGTGGAAGTGGTGAAAATGAAAGCTGAATTATATTTTAAATACCCGCCTAGCATGCGGGAGTACACATGTAAAAATCATCAACTTTTCTTTCCCTTAGTAAGACCTTTCAACTGAAACTTAGACATGAATAGTGTTGCTCCTAAGGTTCAGCCAGGTTTTCTTTATTGTTGGTCGCTGAAACAGTGATTCGCAGGAAGGAAACAGACGTCACTTTCTGAAATTACACATTTAGCAGTGGTGATTATTTTTACACGTCCTCTGACACAATAGGATGCTTTATACAACATTATGTTACTGCGAAACGCAATTTCCTTTCAGCTGACCACTAAGGAAAACGCTGTGGGCTCATGTTATGCTTTCGTTTTCCAAATGATCGGAGGGAAAAATTTGGTGAACTTTTGATCTTCGCTTGAAAATTAAGGAAAGAGAGTTACGTAGGACTTAAGTTAGTTACAGAATCTTTAAAACAAGCTTATCTTTACTCAATCATTTTACAAGGAGCGTTTTTGCGAAGCCGTTTGGACATGTCGCCCGTTTCGAGGGTTGAGAAACACGCACACGACACGACGTGATATTTTGTTGGTCGCTGAAACAGTGATTCGCATGAAGGAAACAAACGTCACTTTCTGAAATTACGCCTTTAGCAATTTTTACACGTCCTCTGACACAATAGGATGCTTTATACAACATTATGTTACTGCGAAACGCAATTTCCTTTCAGCTGACCACTAAGGAAAACGCTGTGGGCTCATGTTATGCTTTCGTTTTCCAAATGATCGGAGGGAAAAATTTGGTGAACTTTTGATCTTCGCTTGAAATTTAGGGAAAGAGAGTTACCTAGGACTAAAGTTAGTTACAGAATCTTTAAAACAAGCTTATCTTTACTCAATCATTTTACAAGGAGCGTTTTTACGAAGACGTTTGGACATGTCCCCCGTTTCGGGGGTTGAGAAACACGCGTACGACACAACGTGATATTTTGGGTAGAAGATCAAAGAGAGGCGTATATTTGCTGAATACTGAAAGATGTCTTCGCCTGTGGTTTGTGCGTTTCTTTTCAGGTGGATTCTCCCACTCGTTTTGCTTGGAGGTGGGTACTAAATTTTGAACGATTGTTTCATAACAGCAAGCTATCCCATTTCGGTATCACGACATTTATTACACAAGGACCTTTTAAACTGAAAATTTTGGGGGATTTCTGTAACATATTTGGCTAAGTTAAGTTTCATTTTGCCTATCTTTGTTAAGTATTGGATATTTTTCAGTACTTCGAGCTTCAACTTCTATGTACGTAAACGGTGGAGAAATAATTATAGCAAAAGTTTCCTGCTAACCCGGCGAAGATCGATCTCCCAGATCGAACCTGTCCAGACGAATAAGAATTTAATTCAAATGTCATCAAACCAGCGGACTGTGAAAGTCGCTTACTGAGCACATTCGTTTTCTTTCTGAAGAGTAAATGCATTAGTTGTATAATCGAAACTGTGCCTCTTTCAATTTCAAGTATCTAAAGCTCTTAATTGCTTTATTACCACAAGTATTTTGGTGGTGACGTAATCTGTTGAAGTTGAACCAGTATCAAAATTACCCATTTTACAAATCTATACATTGCATCATAGCCATCAACAGGCATTGAAAATCGATATAAATCAATATCAGTTGATCCATTGTTTTCTGGTTATCAAATTTCTTATGTTGTGAACGCTGTAAAAGGCGGAATTATCACGCAGAGACATCAATCGATTAGTGCGTGTTTAAAATTTTCTTTATTGCAGTAACAAGAAGTTAATCAAATGTTTTCTCTTGTATTTATTTCATTTACATAAATTGATCAATAAACTTTTTGTTGTCACATGTTGTTGATGCATAGAATTATCCAAGGTCTTAGATCTGTAAAATTATTCCTTCTTTGTTCGTTTTTAGCTTGTTGTTTCAGATTTAATGGATTCTCTGTTATCTACTTATGCTGCCTGTTAGCAGTTCCTCTTCTTCCCAATCCATCACGAGGTTTGAAATATCTCTTGCTTTATTTCCTATGAATTGAATAATTTTTTTTTCTATCCACAGTCTGTGAAATTTTAAACAAACTCTAAGCTAACTCATAATTTTTATTTGAACAGCTTTAGGCCCCACAGGACATTTTCAGAAGACCCTTCTTGGCCTATCAGTGTTTGCCTTGATGGCACAGATTGCATTCCAGATAGTCTTAGCAGCATTACCACCATATGGACATTTCTTTCCAAACTGTAAGTACAAGGGGAACTGTGTGAGTGCTCTGTGCCTTTTTTCAATCCCTTAACCCTGAATACCTTAACATCAGTATACATATTCTCTATACTGTTCTCTATACATTTCCTATGGTTTTGATGAGGAGGATTTGTTCAATAAACAAGAGCGTTGTGAGTGGGTAGTCATTTCCTGTATTCTCATAACCTTAATGTTTGATTGACAGTAATGATAATGTATGGAGAAGTAAGATGTTAGTCACTCTCGGTGGTCAAAGGTTTAACCCTTAGGAGTGACTAATACAGAATTTCTCCTTGCAATATCAATAACTTTTCAAACAAAAATGTGATGTGGAGCAAGAAAAATAACAACTACAGGATGTTGTTTATTAATATCATCAACCTCTTAGAGGTAAAGAACAGAAAGAGTATGGCAGATAATGAAGAGAATTGAGAAATCTTGATGCAAAATATTTAATTTGATTTTTTTTCTGTCACATATATCATTAGATTTAATTGTTTTTGAATATAATTTGGATAGTATACTAATAGTATATGGATTCATCTTAATCTATATTTCTGGGTTGAAATATTATGCAATAAATCAATTACTATTAATTTCAATGTAGGTTCTAGGTATGAGCAACTTACCAGGCAAATTGGACTCAGTAGGTAAAACATTTGCTCTTTGTCATCTGACTTTTCTCCCATACGTCTTTTCAATTTGAATTTGTTGTTACACCAGCCTGTGGCTCTTTTAAAAGTGGAACTCAGCTATTGTTTTCA